TAAACATCGTGGGGAAACCGGACCCAGCCCAGCCTAGAATGATGATCCTATTAAAAATAAATGATCAGATCGGATCTGCCCAGACGTAAAAGCGTTTAGCGCCAAAGCTTTTTTGATTATCAATACTACTACAAAAACGCTAAATAGGAACTACATATTTTCGATAAAACAAATGAAGGTCAAATCCAATTTGATTCAACGATAAAATATGTAAATAAATAAATAAATCAGTGGCGCTACAACCTTTTTAGTTCTGAGTCTCAGATTTCAGTATCTGTTTCATGATCATGTTAATCTAATCGGCAAGTAGGTGATCAGCCTCCTGTGCCTCACGCCATTGACTTTTTGGGTCTAATGCGGTTTCCTCACGTTTTCCTTCACCGTTCGAGCGATCGATAGATGCGAACATAGACAGAAAGTCAATTGTTGCATAGCCGGAAATCGAACCTACGACCTCAGTGATGAGAGTCGCACGCCGAAGCCAACACTGCTATATATTTAATAATACTATTTATGTTATTAGAAAATTAAAGAACAAATCTCAAATCGAATTCTATCTGAGTCTAGACTAAATAAAATTAGTGAACTTTTCAATGAAAGTAAAGTAGATATGCCCTATACTACTTAGTTTTTTATTTGGTCATTATAAAATCTATCCTCTATAAATTTTTAGAGAGACAACGGACTAACTGATTAGCCTCGCTGGCTAAGTGGTTTAAAAACATAACGGTTCTGTTCCCGGTGAAAACAAAAGACTTCAAATGCAAAATTACTGCTGTTATTATTCAAGATTTTGCTACAAACTCGTTCAAAGGTTAATTCTCGTTTTCGCTCAAATGTCTCGATGCGATAATGCAAAGATAATTAAAACTAAATTCGGCATTAGACGCGGAGAATCACGTGCTAATTGCGCAGGGCTGGCGACGCGAGCTTGACAAACGACTTTGATCAATCACGTCCTCCGTGGGCAGCCCCGGCCGCGGCTGCGACGCGATTTATTTGTGCCAACCCTACCTCGAGGCGTTTGTCACATACTGTCGATGTTTATGATTTGCATTTGAATGAGCTTCATGTTTAAATTAGTAGCACATATCTGATAGGAAATGTTCACGGGTTCTACGAAGTGCTACGACGCTACAAGAAAAATAATGTTGGAGAAAGTACGGTGATGTATGAAATTTCGTTCAGACGAAATTTAATTAGAGTTTCTGTAAACTCTCTTTTAATTAACGATTTCATTTTAAACTTAGACTATCGTTCAAATCTAATCTGTTCTATATCAAACTAAAAAGTCTGCAGTGAGCTAACGAATTTGAAAAAGCATCTAGCACCAATGTAATATGAATACGTTGAAATTTACAAAAGTATAAATCGCGAAAACTCCAGCGAACTTGGAATATATTTTTATTAAAATATAATGTAATTAATTTTAAAGATACTTCGAGCTTCCGAGCATTTGAAAAGAAACAAATTGATACAGCCATCGAATAGGATTCCTGAAAAAAATACCGACCGGTTAATGAAAAAACTACGCAGTCAATATTTGATGAGAGCCAATTTAAATGTTCGTCCACTTGTAGACATCGCATAGTTCAGCCTGTATCGCGTATGTAGGGGGGCAACACCCGCCGAATTTCCGAAAAAAGAAAAACGAAGAAAAATAAACATGGCTGCCTCCGTGTGCGCGGGAAAAAATGCAGATATAATGCCAGTAATAATAATAATAATAGGCGATCGGTCCACTGGGCTGCTCCACCCGCCCCCACACAATTTTCATTCAAATGTGCTTGCGTTTTTTTAAACTATTTTTATATTTCGATATTTTTTCGGCGTACACTATGCGACTGTTGGACGATCGTGTCGGGATTCCCGCGCTTTTCAGATTATCTATTTAGAATGTCAAAATGTTTTCAAATAAACTTCATACGCGAACACGCATATTGTATTTTTATACTGGCAATATTTAAAATGAACCGTCTAAATTGTAGCACCTGAATGAGCAGTCTTTTATATTTAACACTCTGTGGTTGGTATGCCAATATATACGGTTTAGAAATGTATTTCAAATAAATATAACGGTCAACTATATGATATCAGTATTTTCTTCTATTCAAGGCTTTCTTGGAATTCATAAGTTTTTTTTTAAGATAATATATTACGTTAACTTGATACTCAGTAATATTTAAATATATTGTTAGATAGCCCCTTGTGCAGAGGCTGTTTCAGCGCAGAGGAATCAGTCACCCACGTAGTCCTAGAATGCGAGGCTGTGGCTAAACAACGTACAGAAATCCTCGGAGCAGTGAGGTCGCTCCGTGAAGCCTGGGCACTCCCAGGATACTTCTGTGCTTCTGGAAGGAGCTAGGCTGTTTAAATTAGCCAGGACTTTAAGTACAACGGACCAATTATGAGTCTAAGTGCGGAAACTGAGGCCACTAACCTTAAATATATTGTTAAAAAGATATAATTTATTAATCACATTTAACCTTCAAACCCATGACGTAAAACTTTTCTTCAAATAAGTAAAAATTATATTCTACCGATCTATCGCACAAAAAATTCAATGTGTACACAAAATAATATTAGGTTTAAAACAGAAAATACAGTACAAAAATTAAATTAAGTAAAGAAAGTAAAAGAATACAGATCTACAGAGATATTTCGTAGAGGTAACTAAAATCACTACATCGTAATATTAAATTAATATTTTACATTGAATTTCCCAGCCATAAGGCCGTATAGTACTTGTTATTAAGCACCAAATTCACACATCCCGTGAGTTACGAAGTAGGCTTTACATTTTCCGCTTTCCCACGGTTTTAACACGTCTTAAAGCACCATTGGAGTTATAAACTTTTGCTGCGAACAGAATGAAAAACCTCCGAACATAACTGTTGATATTGGGTTTTCAATGCGTTTGTTGGGGTAGTGATGGATTTTAGTATGGTTGATATTGGGAATTGTATATCATAGTAATAAAAAAAATAAACGTTTCATTGTTTTTTAAGTTCATCGTAGTATGTTTTAAGTGTAAGTTTATTACATTAAGTAAAATATATATACCAGTGGCGCTGTGCCTGATACATATCGTTGACTTTTTTGGTCTTAGGCATACCATGTTGTCCTTCACCGTACGAGTGGTGTTAGATGGGCACTTAGACAGAAATATCATTGGTACACAGCTGGGGTCAAACCAACGACCCCAGGAATGAGTCGCACGTTGTAACCATTAGGCCAATACTGCTCTTAAGTAAAAATAATTTATTTCGTTTGCAAAAAAAGTTACTTCAAAATTAAAATTGTAAAAGAGGTTTTCTAATCATTCCTTTAATTTATTTTAGCGAAATTTTAATTTAATTTAATTATACATATTTAATAAAATTAGATATAAAAACAACACCTATAACAAAAAAACAATAATTATATAATTATATATATTATACTAACCTTAAAATATAATAACTAAAATATATTAGATATTAAAAGGAGACATCCCTTTAGGCAAGGTTCCGAAGAAACTGGCAGCGTTCCCCCTTTGAATAGCTAGACTAATTAAAAATAGCTAGCTATATTTATTGTTTTTTTTTTGGTTATAGATTTTGTTTTTATATCTAATTGAATTAAATAGTTATATTATAAAAAATATTTGATTATACTCTCAAATGAAAAAAACTTAAAAATTATTTGTTTATAATATTTTGACACATGATTCAAATGATACATTTTAAATATAGATGCGAACTCTCTCTGCATGAATACTAGAATGAGCCGTGCATAACAAAAATGTTAACGAGGTGGTTCTAAAAAGTAGGGTCACTCCACCACTGGAAAACGTACGACAATACGACATGACATTCAATTTAAACTCGGACCGGAGTACGCGTTCAATAATTAACATAATGTACTTTTTCTACTTTTTGCACATCTCGTTTGACACTCCATCACTCATGGAAATTCCATTTTCAATGCTATGAGGGAAGGGGTGGGGTGCAGCGGTCTTTGCATCGCGCGATGGACATGGCGGTTTTTGGGTGGTGAGGGGTGGTCGAAAAAAAGATTGTTAAAAAGGCTGCCCCCCGCGACGGCGGTGTGTGAGTGCGTGCGGGTAAAAAAGCGCTTACTAATCGATACTATAGATTCTGAGGCAAGTAGGTTGCGCCGGTGGCACGCCGATTGGTCGGAGGATCGTTCCGGAATTTTTTTCGAGGCCTCTAACGAAGCGGTCGATGTTTAGTCTTTCGAAATCGGACCTTTTGAGCGGGGCGCAGATGTGTCGTCTTTTTACGCCGGCCCGGACCTAACTCGTCGGTCAACACTTGAAAATTAAGCGCGCTTATTCGCACTTAACTTTGTCCTTTCTGCTTCAAATTCTACGGTCACGTGTAAAGACAAAAAACGTCGACTTTGAATGGCATACTTGGCGCTTTTGCGTCGTTTTGCAATCTTCATCACTTCTTTATTTTGGTGGTACGGAATTGAGTTAATATAGGGATACTGCTAAAACCGGGGCTAAACTAAACTCGGTCGTTTTATACACAATTTTACAGTGATTCAGACTTTTAATAGCTAGGCAAGTTATGTTATAAATAAAAATGAATCGCAAAATATGTTGCTACAAGTCGAACTGGCTGGACCAATTCGAGTCATTTATTTTTTATATATTTCTCGAATTCAGAGGTTTTTATGAAGAAAAAATATTGTTTTAGTACTTAGGATTTTATACCGGAAAAGTGAACGAATTTCGCCGGGCAGCTAGTAAATAATTAATTCGTCTATACTCAAAATTTAAGATTGTCTTACGAATTGCTTACATCAATTGTCAATCAAACCGACACAATTGTTTACTGGGAATCGAAACCAAGAATTTATGTGCATTCAATACTTACCCATTTATCTTGTTACAAACGTTAAATTCAGGATTAGGTATTGAATCATACATTGTTTGGTTTGACCCTAACATAAACTATTAATACAACCTTAAGACAAAGGCATGCAGCTTATTATAACATTTCACAATAGAGTGTTACTAAGGGCGGCGACACAAAAGTATAAGTAGATAGTGTTGAGTATTGGGTTAAGTGTACCTCATTCTTGAGGTTGATGGGCTCTTGCTGAGGCCGGGAGGGAGAGGTCCGCCCCCCCTCTGCACTTTCCAACATATCAGCCTCGCATCCCGATTCGTCTGAAAGAAAAAAAATACGTTTAACCAGTATTAAGAGTGAAATATTTATTTTCCGCCCACGTAGATTTGATTTGTGGAGGTCAGGAAATACGTCAAATGTTAACGAATTATAATAGGTATATTAGTAACTATGGAACCATAAACAAAGCCTAGAAAGGCTGTATAATTGTACAACTGCACAAAAATGCATTTTTATATACAACATTTTATTAAATACATAAGAATACTCTACTATTATTCATAAGCTTGTCACAGATTTAAGAAAATTGTTGATTTGTGTTATGCGGGACGGGATCTTGCAGACAAATTATGCTAGATGGCAGAAGTGGTATCTGGTATATTCCTTTAGGAGTGACAAATAATCATATCTTTAAAAGTTTATTTATTTATTGGTCATCTAGCACTTGTAACAAAACTAAAAATCTTGCTTACAACGTAAAAATATAAAATCAGTGGCACTACAACTTTTTAGGTCTGGGCTTCAGATTTCTGTTTCATTTGTCAATCTTATATCAGCTGTGATCAGCCTCCTGTGCCTGACACACGCCGTCGAATTTTTGGCTCTGAGGCAAGACAGTTTTCAATCGATGTTTTCCTTTACCGTTCGAGCGAATGTTAAATGCGCACATAGACAGAAAGTCAATTGGTGCACAGCCGGGGTCGAAACTACGACCTCAGGGATGAGAGTCGCACGCTGAAGCCACTAGACTTTGCTCTAACGTAAAAGTATATAGGCTTTAATAGCTGTATGTAATATATAAATAAAGCAGGCTTTATATGAAAAAGGGAACTAAACTTACAATAGGTTTAGTGTGATAGTTTAATTTTGTAATAAAAATACGACGAAACTGCGCTAAGGAAATAGGACAGAATGTATCTATTTTCCCGTTATTAAATCCATACGTTGGTGGCAGGTAAGCATTCTTAGCATGTTATATTAGTTATGATCTAAGTTTCTATTTAGGTTTGGTTATTATTATTTCATTTTATTTGTTTTTTATTTTGTGGTTGCTTGTTTAATTTTTTCCCTTGCTAACTTGCTCAAATTCTATTATAATTTATATGTAGGTGTGTAAAATTTGTGATGTTTTAGAACTTATAAATAAATTGGATTTTATCAGTTTGCTCTATGTCCCTTAATAAGTAGGTAGTGTCTGACATATTTTACACGTGACGTTTAAGTCCGCGGGATATAACTTGGATACTATACTAAATTAGACCAACAAGCGTTAAACAAAGCATAATCACAGCCGCTGCTTTCATGATAAAGAGAATGCCTTCTAAGTATATTTATTAATGATATCCAGAAGTCATTCCAAACTGAAAATCAATATTTTGTAGGCTACCAGAACTCCAATTTTTATATTTAGTTCTCTACTAAGTTGATGTACATAATTAGAAATGCTTCAAATCAAAATAATTCAATTCTGGGGTTGAGTTACGAGGGTAAGATAATTTGATTAAATTTGCGATTGGGCATTTTTATCCTTGGTCAATTGTTTTTTAAATTAACGTGTCTTCGAATTTTTTTGGTTGTTTTTGGAGCTTTTGTTCAGGTTTTAAATAGATTTTTGATGTTAAAAGAAAGACGTCTATTCTTATAGTCATAGTTAAGTATTTCAATTCTATATAATTTTAAATATTTTTTTTTATTAATTAACGTACTGTAAGTCTCCTATGTTTGATTAGAATAAAATTGAATGGTAAATTATTTTCTTAGAAGTTATAAAAACCTATCAAAGGAGTTTCAAATTTAGTTTTTTTCAATCAAAATTCGAAATAAATATTAATGTCCATAGATGGAATACATATTGTAAACAAAGGGATCCAACATTTACGAAAGGAACATCAATAAAAAATGTTAAATACACTTGACTAAGTTACACCTTATTCGGATTTATACGAGTATATGTCCAACAATAACGTCTTATATGACTGGAATTACTATTTAATTATCCTTCTTTGACGCATTCAAGTAATTTCAAATTAAATAATTTAAAATATGTAACATGATATTAGTTAACTATTTACATATGTTAAGGAAAATGTCGTAAATTGAGGGTCGTTTTTTGAAGTGAAACTTCTTTATCGAGGTTGGAAAAAAATTTAGTGTAACATTTTTTCGTTACGCGTCACATTTTTCGGTTACGCGCCGTGTTGCTTTTTGAAGTCAAACTTCTTTATCGGCGTTGGAATGAAACTTCTTTATCGACGTATGGGAGAAATTTTGTAGCAAATCGTCACGTTTTTCAATGATAGTAATAATTATATTACAATTAATGAAATTCTATAATAATCTTCGTAGTAATAAGGTAAAATGAAATATTTGTATTCATGTCTATGATAATAAAATCCTTTTGTTAAACTTTATCTAATTTAACGAATTTCTGTAAAGTTGCATATAGTAGATCATTTTTCGAAAAATAAGATCATAAAGAAGTTTCACTTCTTACGTGTGTACACCTAGTACACGCACAATTTTTATTTTTCATAAGCAAACTATGGTTAAGTAGTAAACGAAAGTCAACTTGCATGAAATAACTCTTATCCGCACGTAACCGAAAAGCTAACAACACGTACAAACTTGCGAGACAAACACCAAAGCCACAAAAGAACGAAGGCTGTGCCTGACCTACCCCAACGCGTACCAACAAATAGGTCAAGATCCGGCGGAGTCGGCATTCGGAAGGAAAATTCCCTCTTTATTTACCTGTGGGAGGCAAACGCTTTGAAAATCAACGCGTTTCGTGTGGGCTGTGCTTTGTTGGGATGCCTCGGATGCCTTTCATTCTTTGTTAAAGATGTTAGTGTTTTTTTATCGAACTTTCGCTGGATTTTTCACTTGCATTTTCCTCGAACATTTTGCTTTGAGATGTTAATAAGTTCCCAGATGTTTAGCTGGTTTATTAAATGTATTAACGCGTGTATAAAAATATCAACCAGGCGATATGTATAAATTAAAAATATAAATGCTATATTATATTTTAATATATGTTTAAGTTTTAATACATATATTATAATATATAACTTTTTATAGCTCCTATTAATTATGAAACGGTTCATAAATTTTATTCTTTATTTCATACTGTAGCAATGGCTTAGTGGTTGAAGCGTCTCTCAACTGTGATGCCGAGCATTCGAATCCCGGCGTTCTGTGTGTATTTAGCGCTTCCTCAACGCAATTAAATAAAGACAGACAAGGTTAAGCAACAGGCATGTCTTCCAAAAATGGTTGACATGTGTCACAAAAGGCCTACCTACTTGTCTATAAAAATATAATTAACAAATAAACGTGTGCACTTTGAGTGAGACATATAAGGCTGTGGCGCCACTGGATTATTAATATTATTACTCTAAACTCAACACGTATGTGTCAATATGCCAAAAGACTATTTTTTTCTGATTATATAAAGTGACTAGCTGATCCGGCAAACGTCATTTTGCCATGTATATCATTTATAATAAAAAATAGGGGTTGATCGTAGAGGGGTGAAAGTTAGGGGTTGTATGTATTTTTTTATGCTGTATCATAAAACAATAAAAAATAAGTAATTTATCTAAAACTTAAAAAAAGTAATTTAGGTGTGGACTACCCTTAACATTTAGGGGGATGAAAAATAGATGTTGTCCGATTCTCAGACATACACAATAAGCACACAAAATTTCATGAGAATCGGTCAAGCCGTTTCGGAGGAGTATGGCAACGAAAACTGTGACACGAGAATTTTATATATTAGATGAAAGCGGCTAAGCTAGAAAATAACTTCTAAGCCTAATCCCGAAGATATAGCATTGTTTTTCCATACGTATCCGTACAAATCCATGCAAATATTCTAATGAACATTTCTCGTAAACACGAATACTAGGAACGAATTTGAGTTTAGATAATGCGAGCTTTTATGATACTTAGAAGCTTTCCTTGGAAATACTTGTTTATCAACTTGAATAGATTTATCGGTTTCTCGTATTGTATTGACCGAAATTTCAATTGGAATGTTAGGGCGCTTCGAGCTTTGGTATTATTACAAATGGATGTACTATAATTTGGATCGGGATTTACGATATAGTTTTTGACGGTAATTCCAGAAAACTTCATTCAAGTTCTTATAAGAGATAAGGTTTCTATCTCATATAAGAACTTCAAATGTATACCATGATTTAGATTGTATTATTCTGTAAAATAAAACAAAACAGATAAATAAAATAAAACGGAAATTATTGTTTCCATAAGAGCTGGCAAGAAACCCGATAGTTACTATTTGAATATAAACTTTAAAAATGCAAGAACGTACCAATTCTTAAAAAGGCCGGCAACGCACTTGCGAGCCCTCTGGCAATGTGAGTGTCTATGGGCGGCGGTATCACTCTACATCCGGTGAGCCTCCTCCTTTGTTGTTACATAAAAAAACCGGGTTTAAATAGAATACCGTCAATCGAATTATTATTGTTGTATATTTTTATAATATATAAAGTGATTAAATGAATTAATACTATTTCGAAATGTTCAACTGAATCCTTTAGAAAAACAATACAAAAACTATCGTTAATAAAAGATTCGCAGTTTAAGCTGCGTATCAAAGTGAATCAAATGACACAGTAATCGGCACCCATAAGATACATCTGGATAACTCGATAACCCAATGTCCTATAAACGTATCGAATGCAACAAAAACAAACAACAAAACGCTCTATCTTACCACTCCAATCAACTCTAGCTCCGGCAAGCAAAACTGAGCCCTAACGACCTTACAAACTAAGACACTACCAATCATTGTTCTGCAAATAGCTGCCCGGCCTAAGCAATACGAACTGATGCCAAAACGTAGCGGCCGTCGAATATGATTGCTCCTAATGCGCCGGGTGATAGGGGGGTGAGGCTAGGCCGGTGGGGGGAGGGGTTGCGTCGCGCCGTGTTTCTGACCGAGCAGTAAGTCTGGCTTAATCCTATCGGAAACGCGGGCCCCCATTGAAGATCGGCAAGGACTCGATATGCCATATGATCTGAGGATGTGTCTGAGGATATTAACCTTTGATATCTTTTTTATTGTTTGTCGTTTACGTCATTTCCGGTATAGTTAATGGAGCATTTGTTTTTAGTAAAATCTGGCCATTGGCTATCTTTGAACCATAGCAAAAACTACTAGGTTTTTTTTATATTATCGAAAACTCACAAACCTAGAATACTATTATCTGCAATATTAATAAGTTCTACATCAAGATAAACAAAGATGAAAATCTTAAAGCTAAAACTGGTTATGCCTAGATCTATCCACCGATACCCACCCCCTGCTCGACTCTAGGCGGCCTGTGAGGGGGACATTACAAATTAATAGCACAAAGACCGACCGCAGATCGCCGCTGCGAAAATTTACAGGCTCCAGACACTTATAGTGCACTGCAGACGATAAAGGCTGGCTTTACGTACTCGAATACGTAAGGCGTAGGCGTATTTTGGCAGTACGCTATAGCTATAATTATAAATTTCTAATAAACATTGTTCTTGGTGCAGAGTCGAGATTAAATTTTAAATAAGCTAAGGCGCTTCGAAGATGTATCGAGCGTTGAGACGATGGAAATAGCTTTGAAATTTTGACCGATGCATGCAAAAGGTGACTTTGTTCGTGATTCTCATTGGGGATTCGTTTTGTTATTATTTTCATACATTGTTAACAAGTATCTAAGTTCTAAATTTAAATATCTGCCAAAATTCAATCTCCTAAACCTTTTTAAGAAACCAATGCCGAACAATTGGAACAGTAAACTTTATTTAAATTTAGAATTCTAATGTGTAATTAAAGTTATGAAAAATAAATCAGTGGAGCTACAACCTTTTTAGGTCTGGGCCTCAGATTTTGATATCTGTTTTTTTTAGATAGTGAACTTTAACGTGAATTCTAACTATTGTGTAATTAAAAATATGAAAAATAAATCAGTGGCGCTACAGCCTTTTTAGGTCTAGGCTTTAGATTTCTGTATCTGTTTCATGATGATTTGTAATAGGCAAGTAGGTGATCCCCCTGTGCAGGCACAGGCGTGTGTCAGGACACACGCCGTCGTCTTTTTGGTTCTTAGGCAAGCCGGTTTTCTCACGATGTTTTCCTTCACCGTTCGAGCCAATGTTAAATGCGCATTTATCTTTCAGCCTACTATGGAATCATTAGGTACAATGACAATGTTGTAACTCTAATAAACACAATAAAACATTACCGTCAACCCACAATACATATTTTATTCATAACAATACTCAGTATCTTTTTCTATCTAACATTTATACACGTGTATTCCTGTTAGTTATTTTCTATTCTCGACTAATCAAAATCTATGCAGCTCTATTTTAATATCAAAAACATTGGTACTAGAGTTTGATTGCTTTTCCAATCGATTCCAAATACTAAGCGATGCTCTCCATTTACGTTTTGTCATTTACAAAAAATACACTGTACATTTATTGTCGTACAGGTGCTGTAAAAAGTTAAAACTGCTATATCGACTAAGACTCGCAGCCATGGGCGGATCGCGAATTTGGGGGCTACGAGCTTTTTCGGGGAAGTCCCCTGTAATAGACGCAAACGCTAAAAATACACCGACCGAAAACAAGCGACGGGGAATTCCCCTTTCCGTTCGATACGCGCATCGCACATGCGTTGATTGATCTTAGAGATTCCAACGTAAGATTTAAGGTGGTTTTTAAAAAATATATCAGATATTTTTTTTAAATTTAAAATATCGCGTATTGTTTTCAGTGGGGACTGCGAGCCCTGGGCTGCAGCCCAAAAAGCCCTTAAGTATATACGCCTCTGCTCGTAGCACAGCTGGATATGCTCTGTATCACGAGATTTAAGCATGAAATGCCACGTCTGTATCAAACATTTGTTTTGAAAATTGTCAGTGCGCAAAAAGATTAATAGTTTAAGTTAGTGTTTATTATAGATATTTGAAGTAGATGTATTCCTGAGTCTTCATCTATTGCGGAATAGTAACTAAACAACGTTAATAAATAAAAAATACATATTTAATATTTCATTGATTCAACGTTTTAAAAACAATTTTAAATCGACATAAAAACTAAATCAGTCTTTGAATTAAATTACTAATCAATTCTGTACATTGCCGTTTTAGAGACATTATAGTCACCTTAGTTTAGTTTAAAAAAACAAAAATAGTAGTCAGTCTAGTAAAATGCTACGTGAGGGGTGTGCGCTTAAAAGAACAATGAATAACCGTCCGTGCATGTTAAATTTGTCGAGAGCGGACGATAGTCAAGCGGAGGTATCTGCTGATTACCCTTGAAACAGTTTCATCTTGATATACACTTATTCAATCAAACTATGGTGATGATGACAAAACAACAAATTTAAATCGTGTAAAAACTTATTCGAAATCATTACAGGAAACAGATAGATTAATAGAACCACTTTGAGAATATTGAAAAGGACCAATTGAATTATTGAATCAGTGTTAATGCACGTTAGTAGTAGTCTCTTAAGGGGAATCTTCCCCTTATGAGAGACTGTAAGTAGAAGAAACTTGAAACTTTCTTATGTTAAATATCCTTATTAGTAGCTTAGACTTAAATAACTTATTAGTCTTAAGTTTGACTAGATCGTATTGTTCCATGATGTCGCAGTGAAAAGACAATGTATTAAAAAAATTGAACCACTTTATAGTAGCAAGTATGTGTA